TTTTGTTGTTTTTTTTTTTTTTTTTTTTTTAATTGTGTTCTATTTGCCTATCAAAGCAAGTGTTGTTATTACTTGACAGAAGTTTATGATACACCCGTGTACCTCTTAGTTATAAAGATTTGTAGTCTTAGTTTTGAATTATATTAGTGCTTAGTTACGACATTTTGTGATAGTTAAATTTGTGGTTGTCTTGGTTGTGAGATTTTGTAGTGTTTTTGTTATGAACCAATTTGGCTTTGTTATGAATAAGATTCAATGCGACAGTTGGGTTCATCTGCGCTAGTTGGGCGCATTAAGAATGAATGCAAATTGGTCACCAAAATATCTTTAGAGAGGTTATTGCGCAAGAGGTAGTGATCTTAAATTACTTCATGTGAGGCGCACGTGGTGGATTCCGTTGTATATACTTATCGCAAGAGGTGCTAATAAGGCTTATGTTTGGAATCTATAATTACGCAAGCTGTGGTCTTTTTTTTTAAATCGATCACTTATTTTGAGATGATGGGATATTGACACTATTATGGTTTGTGTCATAATGATTAGCAGATGATGATGTCAGCAAGCAAGATTGGCTCACTCACACAAGCAATCGCCCTTGGCACTTTGGAGCGAGCAAGGATGAGACTAGTGGTTTATTTTTATTTGGAGCCAAGAGAGGCTTAAATAATCCACTATATATGTCGCCTTAGTTACAACCAAGATGAGGTCGTGTTAAGGATCAAACATGGATATTAGTACCCACTTTCTATGTTGTGCTTATTATGATTAGCTAGATGCGAGATCTTATTTGGCGCCTAGAAGGCGAGCAAATAGAGAATTCGGGTTAGGCGCTAGAAGACGACTAGACTTATATCTGTACGGTGTATCGAGGATGACGTCACTCTTTTGGAAGAGTTACTCCACCGTAACATGTATTCATACTATATGTGCTTGGCGACTTAGTAATGAGGTGAGAGAATGGATCCCTGTTTCCTCACCGTGTGAGTCTTACGTGTCATTATTGATATGACTTTCATTTATGTACCCTTTTGTGACTTTTGACTATGTCATAAGGTAAGGGTTGATGTTCTGCTACTTTGGTATGTTGCCTGCGGTCATGTATGATTCGGCCTTAAGGGACATCACTGGAAAAGCGGTCAATCCTAAACTAAATGGCATGAGGGCAAAGAGAAGATCATCTAGTATTACACCACTGTTGTATATTCACTGCCGGTAACTCACATCGCTCTGTATGAGAAGCGGATTGAGTGTGAATATATTGCAAGAATTGAGAGGGTCAAACATGCTCTTTTGAGGGATTAAAGATGTTTTTTGGACTGGTGTAATTAGATGGGTCTGGGGTATATGAGACACTATTTCTTTTCTTTTTGGGTTGATGTCTCTATGCTGGCTCATTTTGAGTTTCTAGTATAGAGCTCCCACATGCATGTGTTCTTAGCAGTCGCACGATGTAGTGGCTAGTATGAGATTGTTTAATTTTGGGGGAGATTGAGATAGAGATATGGCAATGTCATGCCAACTCATGTTCGAGTGGGAGATGTTAGAAATTGGGCGCCCATGTGGCATGACCCTTAGAACCTTTTGAACCTGAACCTTTTGAACCTTATCCATGTAAGTTTGAATTTGAATTCAAAACTTATTTGGATAACCATTCAGGATATATATATCTATCATATCAATAGATATGGATAGATGGATAGATTGATATATATGTGGTCATATATCAGATTATATGGTTAATCTAAAGATATACGTATATTAGATATACGTTATGTGGTTTATACCTATAACCTTTTTTTCCCAGACTCTCTCTCTCTGACTCTCTCCCAGAAAACAACGATCAAGCCATTTTGCACTGTGACTTGTGTGGGCGATACTCATTTTGTAGTATCACTCCACTGCTGGGTTCGTTGACTAATTAGATTTTGGAAGCATGTGATTTACCCACGAGGTTGTGTCATTAAGGTATGATCCAAATTATTTTTATCCGATACGTTAATTTATAATGCTTTATGATTTACATATATAGATACAGTAAAAATGGTTTATTGGAGACTGCTTTTCTTCCTTTCACATACCCTCATCACCAACACCATCACCATCACCACTGCTCAGCCTAATTTCATATTCAGTTTCTGTGTGCCTAATCCAAATAACAAAACTACTACTTATGAGGCAAACCTCAAGACCCTCCTTTCTTCTTTCTCCTCAACCATTAACAGATATGGATTTTACACTGCTTCTCATGGCCAAAATTTTGATAGAGTTAATGCATTAGGGCTTTGTAGAGGAGATGTTGAACTCGATTTTTGTCGTAGCTCTGTGTCAATGATTCTACTCATAAGCTCATACAAGTTTGTCCAAACTACACGGAGGCAATCGCGTGGTATGATTATTGCATGTTAAGTTATGTTTGGAAATATCTTATCCTGAATATAATTTTGTCTCAAATTGATCCAATTGAATACAATTGTTAGCTCTTTGTTTTTCTTTTTGCTTTTTTTTTTTTTTATAGCAAATGCGCATATGAGTGGTATATATGACGATTTTAGGAGTTAAATTGTGAACTTTATCAATTTAGTGACTTAACCGTAACTAATTCAATGAAAATTTTCTGTAAAAAATCTTAACGATATTATCAATTGAACCAAATTAATGTAAAATCTAAAATTAATGATTAAAATTGAATCAAATAAAACTATAAAAATTTAAATAATACAAATGGTAAAGTATAAGAATTACCGGTGAAAATTGTCCTATTTTAATTTCAAAAAACTTTAATGAATAGTTGTAACCCCAAAAGTTATAGGGACTCCTTTTCCTTTTCTTTTTCTTTTTTTCTTTTTTAGATAGAAGGGTCTTTTCTTTTGATATCCCTGATGGCAAACGAAAGTATGTGCGCCAATAAAAAAGCCACTTATCTTATATTTCCTCCCTTACAGACCATAACATATTCAAATTTCAATAGGTTGAAGATATATATCACGTCATTATATTGATGTGAGATGTTAAATCAATGAAATTTTAAAGTATATTGTGGTTATTTTTTTGAATTAATAATACATTAATAAAATTATTAAAATTCCTCTATCTATTGTGACTTCTTTTTTCTTCTTCTTCTTCTTCTTCTTCTTCTTCTTTTTTGTATGGTTCCCATTAATCATACACACTGTTGATGTGGAATTCTTGACCCATCAAATAACTTCTCCATTCCCACAATCTTTATTTTCTTTCTTATTTATTTATTTATCTATGATAGACAAATTTAACTATAGACATTTTACTATAACAAATAAGAGTTTGGGAACAAATTTTTTATCTCTAAAAGTAAAACTTTGTTGCAAAAAATATTTATAGATCAATTCTCATCGTCGTGAGGATAGTCACTAAAATCTCATCCTAAAAAGTCAAATAAATGTACTTTTAGGAACAAAAATTATTTGGTAAAAAATGTGCATTTTTTTAGACAAAAAAATGGGTCCCAAATGATAATAATCTATCACTAAATATTCAATTTCATCGTTAAAAATATAACAATGACACTTTTGACAATAAAAATATTTCAACCTTGAAAAGTAATTTTTGTCCCTAAAATCTTAATATGTTGTAGTGATAGACACTTCATTATTAACCATCTGATGTCTGCAGACATGAGGAGGATGGATAGTTATTTGAGTTGTATCTTAGAATTGTTTATTATGTGCTATAAAATTCGTGTTAGGAGAGATAATAATAATTTTAGGACAACAACTACTCTCTCTCTCACAATCCCGAAAGTCTATAAACCCAGAAAGAAAAATCAGAAATTTACTCAAAATTTCAAATGTAGAGTGTAGATTTAATCTTCTCACTATGAGGCCGGACCAATTTATAAATGAATCTTGTGTTAACATAAATTTCAGAACATAAACCTTACACTTTGGATCATTTACCATGTGTATTATCAAGAAATCAAGACAAAATGACATACCTGAATCCATTGATGAACGGTTAAACGGAAGCGTCTGATTGTCAATAAAACCTTAATATTGACTTTGTTAGAGCCTTCTAATCCTTTCCCTTATGTTCAAAGTTATTTTACTTGAGAGAATGCTACATCCCCCGAATTTGGGGGCCCCTAATCCCCCGAAAAATCAGAACAAGGCAAAAAAAAAAACATGCCCAAAACGACGTTGCTTTGGGCATTATGGGGATTAGGGGGCCAAAAATTAGGGGCATGTAGCAAGGCTCTAGAAAAAATAATGAAATACACCATCGCTTTGATTATATTTTCTATCCTTTCAAGCCTTCGACCATGGTCATTTCCCAAGTCATGAAGCCTCGTCCTTACATCGTTGAAGTGTTCTACTGTTAAAGCATCACCAGCTCTAGTGTTGGAAGGGATTGTGGACATAACGCCTTCATCATCTTCAGCCACGAAGTTGAAGTAATTGCAATGGGGAGTGGGAGTGGGACTCTGCAATGCATGACAATCAGTTAGTTGAATACGACAAATATTACTGTGACTACTAAAGGATTAAAATTTCCAATACATACTTACATATTTTGATGGGCAAACAAAGCACAAACGCCCTTCATTTCCATTCTTATTGTTCTGACAATACGTATGGCAGCGGTTCTTCCACAATTGCACAGCCTCGTTTGTAATCTTATGTTGCTAATGTTAGAAGAAGAAGCCATTTTTAAAATCCGCATACATGAGAAATTTGTAGTGGTCTGCTATGCTTCTGTTTGATGGGGTTAATAGCAGGTCTAGGTTAATTTGAGGGACAGAGTGTGTCTTTACTGAAAACATCTATTTGTTCAAACTGCCATGTTTAATAGCATTTGCACAGAGGTTACACAGACTAAACTGTTAATAGCATTTGAACAAACATCGCAGCTCAATGTACACACGTAGCATTTTGAAACTGAACAAATACAGCAGTTTCAAACATAGCATTTGTGATTAATTACAGACATGTTACACACATAGCATTTTCAATCTGAACAAACATGGCAGTTTTACAAACATATCAGGTCAATGTCAAGTAAATTATCAATCACACATGTTAAACAACTATTATCAACAAATCATGCTGAAGTGAAATGATTAGGGGCAGATTGTTGGAGACTGTGATTCAGTAGTTATCAAACTGAAATAGTTATCAACAAATGACACATGTGATTTTCAACAAAGCACACTGAAATACTTATCAACAAATCAGTAATAGTTATGAACATTTAAGTTCAGTTTGATAATAGTTACCAATGTTGATAATAGTTAATTCAAGTCACGCAGCTAACACATTAGTTGATAGCAGTTCATTACAACAATTCATGCGTGATTGACAACAAATTCAGCAAAATCACATTATCAATCACACATTGAAAATTACACAACTATATGCATTCGTTCAACTAATTATCAATCTGCATAATCATACTATGTTCTGCAAAGATGTGATCCTTTCATTTTATGTTGGATCAGTTTCTGCGTATTCATACTACGTTCTGCAAAATTTATACTTTAACTCTAAAAGGTAAATGCATAAATGTTCGTCACAATATGTGCCGCATTTTTCAAGCATACCATTTATCTATCTGCATAACAGTAATTTTCAAATATATTTTGTGAATCACAACCCTAACTTTTTTATTTCAGCGTTTGGAGGACGAACCTGGTTCATCTATGGCCTGAAAGCCCACGTTATCGTCAACAAATTCCTTCTCTACAGCCGATGGTGGTCGCGGTCGAGCTATGGTTCGCGAAGCAGAGAAAATGAGGGCTACAGCGGTGGGTTGGGTTTACGAGTGGGTGGCCGTCGGGAGTGGTCGCCGGTGAGGCTGGGTTCGGTGGAGGAGGAGTGATTCGGTGGAGGAGGAGTGAGTGTGACAGTGAGGGGGAGTGAGAATGAGATTGAGGTGTATACTCTGTATAACCTGTATAGCAGAGCGGGAAAACGGAAATTTATGTTTGGTTTGCATTTGGGAGACGAGTTTTAAAGAAAAAAATTTCTAAAAAATTGTTTGGTTTTAGTTTTTGTAAAAAAAATTTCAAAATCACTTTCTCTCACTTACATATCAATCAATCACTTTTTCTCTCTCCTCTCTCCTTTCCAATCACTTTTTCTCTCACACACATCTACTCAAATTCTCCCAAAATATCAAATCATTCCAAACTCCCAAAAAAACAACTCTCCCAAAATACACAACCATTGTTAACATAAATTTCAGAACATAAACCTTACACTTTTGATCATTTACCATGTGTATTATCAAGAAATCAAGAAACTAGTATCTACACATTAGGTCCATAACACATATACCCTTAAGCCTATTAACTAAATTGAATCACTTAAATTGTAGGCTTCTTATAAATGATAACACCACATTTAATTATGTGGTCCCATTGAGACATTATCTAACAATCTCCCACTGGACCACATATGTATCCTGAAAAAATGTGCTTAACTTTAGTGAGCTTAGAAATTTGTTATCATAACTTGAGGGTATCCAAACAATCTTGTCCATTAACTATATTGCAAGTTTTAGTCTTTTTTTATTGATGACATACATGGTAGATGATCCGAAACATGAAGTTTCATGTTCTGAAATTGGTTGTAGACCAGAAAAGGGGGCTGTAGACCAGAAAAATTGGTTGTAGACCAGAAAAACTGGTTGGTCGACCACCCTTACTGGTCGACCGACTAGAAAATTTGCCAAACTCCAGTTTTGCTACAACAGAGAACAAGAAGGGGCATAGCAGTGTATTTGCAAGATATGTGTGCACAACCACCCTCCTTATCATTTCTCAAGCTCAAGGGAGCGCGGTACTCGACTCTCGGGCCACCAATCGAGCATCGCAATGCACGATGATCCGAGAAGCCAAGTTTGCACAAGTCAATGTCAATGAATGCACAAATAACACATAAGGGCCTCCACCTCTATCATGCTTGATAAAGAGGGTCGGCGATCGAGAAATGAGGCGTATTGCATCACTTCAAGTATGAAACGCCCCTCATTTCTCATGTTTGGGTTAACACCCGACCCAAACACGATGCAATGCAACATACATGCAAACAACATGCTTGTCTATCAATGTTAATGTGGCATGCACAAGGTTCTATCATGTAAGCAATGCATGCAAGACATGTTCGGAGGCCAAGAACATCAAAGCTAGTAAAGAGCGTCATACAAAAGGCATGCAATACAAAGCTTAAACAACTAAACCAGCTCTGGACAGAGCTCCACCATGCCAAAATAAAGGCCAAAACATGCTGAAAAGGGAGTCCAAAAGCTTATACAAGCATGCTTACACATTGGCTCACAAACAAGGCATGAAGACACAACTCTCAAACACATTGAATGAGTGAAAAATGTGAGAGTGTGACAATGAAATATGCT